TTATTACTGTACGAATTATGATAAGACTTAGGATGAGGATAATTCTCAGCCTAAAATAACACAAAGGTAGGCAGTTTAAAATACCTTGGTTCACCACCAAGGTATTTTAAACTGCAGATTAAACTCCATTTACAAATTTTAATCGGCTGCTCGATCAGCGTTTTTATGACGATTAGTGAGTTTGGGCCTCATAAATCGTATTACATAAAAACTATTACATAAATCGTCTCTGGAAAAACTGGAAATACTTCCGATTGCAAAAATGTAGATAAGATAATACTTTGACAAAATAAGTATGTATTTTACATCGGATATTTATACATAAGTAGGTACTTAACTTCAAATCAATTTGGTTGCTGGGATCAAGGCTACACTTTTCTTGATGGTTGCACGTTTATTAGTTATACAAGCAATCTGTTTTAAGTATTTATACAAAAATAATGACAGTTTGATTATCTAAGTATAATTAATGTAATATTAATTTGCTAAACACTTTAAAAGGGATTACCAGATTGAGCTTATGCAAGACACGATTAATGTCTAGATATAATATTTTATTGATAGTTTTATGCTATGGAATTAATTTTTAATAAACTATTGCCATAAAATCTTACAGTAGGTCACTTTTGTCTAGACATTCTTCATGACCTCAGGGTTATAATATATATATTTTTAGGGTTCCGTACTCAACGAGTAAAAACGGGAGGCTTTTACTAAGATTCCGCTGTCCATTTGTCATCAGGCTGTACCTTCATAAATAGTGATAGCTAGATAGTTGAAATTTTCTGAGATTATACATTTATTTCATTAATCGATTTATCCGTGAAATGTAGACCGCTGTAAGCGACGCGCTCATTAATATAATTTGTTTCACCTTGTCAATGTTATAAATGTTAGTGGGTAGTGAAATAATAAATCGCAAAGATGTATAACAATTCCTTTCGCGGGTTAGTGTTCTGCACCCATCCGCGCTAGCAACAAGTCTCACATTTCGCTCATACTGTAATAACCACTGTAAAGTGTAATAAACCATTTTTAAGTATATTTCTTCGTATTACTCCGTACTGCGGGCCCTGCAAGTTACAACCGCTTTTTGTTTTTTTTATTGTAAAGCACATGGAAGTAGTCTGATAATGATATTTTTTGTTAAAATTGGGTTAATAACTTTTTTTTTAAACAAATTAACTTGAAGTTATGTTAACAGACGAAAATTCATACCATTGAAGAAAACAAAAGATCGCGTATTGTGCTTTTGATTTTTGTTAACATTACACTCTTTTAATTATATCACTAAAAATAATTTAATATTTGTTTAAGAAAATAGAGGGACATTAGCAAATGTGGAAAATACTACTCAATAACAGTTTTATTTAAAACAAAACCATTTTTCTGCATAATGTGCACTTTCTTATTTTAAATAAACCGATTTCAAAAACTTTCTTCCTTTCAATAAATTTTTTTAATGATTGAGAATAAAATGCTTATTTTTTGTATACCACTTTCCTAGAACATATTATGCTGAGGTCTTTAATACTATTTATGTGCTGATTGTATATAATCAATTGAAATCTATTAATAACAGACCTGTTGATCGATAAATAGTGACATACGTGCCTTTCATTTATTTTATATAAATATTGAAATGTCTCATTTTATATGTTGTTATTAGTGTTCTATACATACCTTGTATATACAAATAGGAAAATAATAAAACTAAAGAGTTTTTATATTTTGACACTCCAATATCGAAAACTTCTTGGGTGTAACGCCGGATTCTAAATTGCAATGGCATTCTAATATTTCATTATTGGTCGGAATACTTAGTTCAGCTGCCTATGCAATGCGAGAAATTTACTTATCTAGTTACTTTAGTTATTTCCATGCCATTATATCGTATGGTATTCTGGGTTATGGCTGCAGATATAGATTCTGTATTTATCAATAAGATTGAAGAACATTACTTAAAGATATTTATATACATTGTACACTTTATGTTAGAAACAATATTAATAGTTACGTTAAATATAGTCCTGCACACAATGTTAATAGTAGAAACAAAGATAAACTTGTTTTGCCGTTATTTAAGCTTAAGAAAGTTCTAGCAATATTTTTCTGGCAAGATATACACTACTATAACGAAATTCGTGTAGACATTTTGAATATAACATCGCCTAAATTTGATACTATTAAAAATTGTGTATTTAGTAATATATATTATGCTGCTAATGAATATTTAAACGACAAAACTCCTTGAAGTTAAATATGGCTTAATTTTATCGTTTATCATTTACGGTTACATTTATTTGATATCTTGACGATTCCATATGAAATAAAACAGGGAGAAAAAACAGCCCTTGCCGAGTTTCTTGCGGGTTCTTCTCGATATAAACTTACGAGCCGATTGCATAAAGTTTCGACTTTCACAAGTGCTTTGTAACGGCCTACACTGAATAAATGATATTGCTTTGATTTGATGGATCAGTGAGCAGTTAGCTGTAATTCTGATAATATTAGCGTAATTATGAAAATTTCAACTACAGCACAGTTCTTGATACTAGATCACAAAATAATAAATATATATGTCTGCCCCCAATGATTTAAGAGTAATATATTGCACTAATAATATGGGACTTTAGGTAGACAGAACAATTAGGACTTTATTGAGATGCGATGATAACTTAAAAATAAGCAGAATTGAAGCCCAGGGCATTCAAAATAAGGAAACTTTTCATAGTGCATTCCCCTGTGTTATCAAAAAAGTTATGACGTAAATATTTTATTTGGTTTTGCAAATTCACTTTAAAAAATTGACTCAATGTTTATAATGCTTCATAATTCGTGTTCTTTGTAAATATGGAATTTCAGTGTCAATGCAAATTCGCGTTGGCATCAAAATCATATAGAAATATCTGGTTGGCGTGGTTCCATCTTTGTCCGGAAATAGCGACAAATCGTTGCAATCAACTGACGCGATCAGGAAAATAATGCGACGACAGTTGTGTACTTTTTAATGTTTGAACCTCATTGATTTGAAGCTTTTATTATTACTTGCCATGTTAATTAATGTGGTTGAAATCTTGCAAAATATATTTTTAATTTTTGTATTTAGCTTGAGCTGAAACTCTGTATGCATGTATATATACATACTAGATAGATATGTATTTGGATATTCTCATCATAAGCCTCTTACGCCCATTTTCTCTAACCAATATAAGCCATAGCTTAATTAGGGAACGCCTAATATTACGAATCATCTAAGCAAATTAGTTTAATTCCAAATAAATATTTTTTCCTTTAATCTCTTGACATATTTATGACCTGTCATAAACGCAAACACAAGGCAAGGCGCCGCATAACGAATATCATAACTTTAGATATTGCTCAATTCCTAGATAGTCCCTAATCACTGAACCGCCTAAGGTAAAAATGCATTTCACTATTTTTACCTTAGGTGATTCCTAAGTTTAGTGAAAACGGGCACTATTGTCTTTACTTCTGCGCAGGCCACTCCTAAGGATGGTACAATCGATAGTAGGAGAACAATGGACCTTATAATAAGATTTGCAAAGAAAAAGATTTAATTAAGAATACGTTTAAAAGCACAAGATACAAGACAATAAGTGACAAAAGTTATATTAAAATTAAAAAATATTGTTACGAAACTACTTCTGTCATATAGGTTTATATCAGGTCGGCGAGAAAGGGACAGATATTGGGGAAGGAAGGGACGGGTAGCTGTTCTAAAAATAGGATTATGAGTAACTATAATTGGCGTTAAGTTTTATCCTGAACCCTAAGTCGTAACAAATATATAAAAACACTTATCTATATAGTCTGGCAAAGTTGGAACCGCATCGAACAGGGAGAATGAGCCACGTGCAAATGTTGGTGTTAATGACCAGAGAAGCAATCGGAACCAACCAACGGCTTAACGTGCCTTCCTAAACACGGGAAAGCTCCAAATAATAAAATTATGATCACCCCTACGACCGGTTTTTGCGAAAGTTAAGCAACTTAATAGGTCGCACGTACACAGTACCTTAGAGTATTTGATATAAGATTTGATAAAAGAGAATTTTTGGTAGTTGTTTACTATCATAATCGACTAAAGTCCACATCCGTAATAACATGTACTAAAGTCCAAAGTATCATGTACTTTGACCGAAAGTTACATGATTTATACAGCAGCTAGTAAAGTGATTTTAATCTAATCTTGATTACTTTCATATAAAAGGCAGCAGAGTGTAGTTAATTATTAATTAAATCATTGAAATTACAAATCAGTGCTTTGTTGAGAAAACATTTAAGTCAAAGGTAAGCAATCTTATTTATATCTTATTAAAATCAGTGTGTTTAAAAGCACGCGTTTTTATGTATAGCCAAAACACAAAACCGCACATTTTGCGGCTCGCGTTTCCAGTTGGCTAATTCATGCTCTTGTATCATGGCTATGTGTGACCGCAAAGTTTCAGACTTTCGTGTATTCGCAGTGTGGTTTGAGCCCACTAAAACTCTTTGAATAAATATTCATAGAGGTCAGATAAGCATCCAGTTTTTTTTTACTATTCTCACTATTTGGCTCTTACTGTATGTATACATCAGTTTTGTTGAAATGACAATAAATTATAGAAACGTTATGAATAGCAACAAACATTTAAAAACTTTAGTTCATTTAAATCGAGGCGCAGTGGTAAGTACATTCGGCATGCGATACGGAAGTTTTGCAACTTTCACGAAAGTCGGTCATAAGATGGATGACCAAAAACTTATTATCGCATGTTCTTTCGTACTTCGGATGGCACGTTAAGCCATTGGTCCAAACCGCACCACCATCACCAACACCATCCAATACGCACTGGGCCGGTGAGTCATGGCTAATTCTCCGTATTGGACTTGGTTCAATTCAGGTCTTTGCCCTTGTAGTTAATAAGTTAGAAATGGTGATAAGTCTATAATATTACAAATAATTAAATGAATGTCAAAATTAGACGGATTAAAAGATGATGCTGCTTAATTTTCAGATGAAACTCTCAATTTTATTTGTGATATTATCATTGTCGGCGTTAGCAGTCGCTAATCCCATTGAGTTGGCGGTTCCATCTTCTGATATTTCATCTATGACAAGAAGTTTGCGTGTTGGCGACGTTACTTCGAGTACAATTTTATTCCGGTAAATGAATTTTCGCTAATTTTTTGTGGTATTCGTAATCATCACGGACTACGGGGAAAATGTTTTTATATGATAATCCAAAATTATTCTAGTTTACGCTTCGATATTGAGCTTCGAGCTTGTGGAGCTCTGCTTCCCTCTCTTATACAGAAATCAGTGGGGACAATCTAACTAACCGCGTATTGCGTCTCACTCTCACTCTCTCGTATAGTACCCACCTGAGAGAGCGAGTCCCCAGAGACTCCTCTCTTTGGGGCTTAACCTAAAACCTTTTTGGATATTTATCCAAGCGGAGTAGGAGAGAGGAGACCCCAGATACGTCCCTTTCCCGCCAGATAAGTGACTTGTGCAGCAACTCCACATGAGGCAATTAGCCTTGGCCTTAGCCACTCTAATTGCTTCACGTGGGGCCTTAGCCATATAGGCAATTAATACATTTATGATACTTATATTATATTGTAATTCACAGAGACATAATCAACGGTACTTTGGACAGTACCTGGACTTGGCGAGGTAATGAGAATGAAATTATCACTGGCTGGTTTGTGTGGAGGGTTAGTGGAGGAGCCCTAGTGACTGCTATCGATGGTGGCGTCGGCAGTAATTTTATTACCTTCAAGTTTGAATCGCCGCTAAGCTGGTCCTATCTCATACAAATTTATGGTTAAGAACAGTTTTTCATTTGTATTACAATCGGATAATTGTAACCACCTCCCAATATTTATACGTAGCGATTTTTTTTTATTAAAAATATAGTGTCTAACTACATAACCATGAAGCTAGTTTTACTGTTGTAACATTTACCCAATAAAAATTAATTGATTTTTTAATATAATTAATAAATCAGTTAATAAACAGTTTAAATATTAAATTAGTAGAATTAAATACATAGTACACAGATGACAGAACGCGTTTTTTAATACTTTTGTTTGTTTTAGTATCTAGTATTTATCGTACAAGAATAAAATCTCTTACTTGCAATATTTTTGATTCGACTCAGAAAAGGAATTTATATTAACTCGGGAGCTTTTATTAAACCCTGTAAAGAGTCCCTTTCGTACAAATTTCCTCGCTGTATGTACTGTACATACCATGGCGGAAAAGTTTCCTCTGATCTCGGTCTTCGATAAGAACTTTTTCTATTACTTTCGAAAACACAATTTTCAGAGAGCTAAAAACTGTTTCCTGAATGTCGCGTAAATGAAGGTATTTTGATATAAGGCTCTATCGATTTTCGTTTAATTATCGTGGTATATGTGTATATTGAAATTAAAGGGAAGTTACAAACACGTCATACAGACATTTAAAACATTCTGTTCTTAGAAATTATCCTATCAGTTTTTGTTAGGTACATGTATTTAATTTATCAAAGATTAAATCAGGCCAATAAAAAATATAACTGTACATGATATGTTCTCTGGTCATATATTGATCTTGTCAGAGAAGGGCGAGGTGAACTAAGTTGTTGGGATTCATGTTAGTTAGTATAACTGATCATAACTTCTAATATCTCAAACTACCGACCATAATACTGCCCTTCTTATTGCAAACGCAGTAATTGCAAAATGGCGGTTTAAAGATAAACGCGGGAAACATATTTTTTGATCATTAAACAACAAGTCGATGTTATATAACATATAAATTGTTCCTAAAAAATAAGAAAACAGGCATGCTTTCTATCAACATATTTTTTCCTTAACTTAAACGGTATCTGCATATAATCCCTAAAGTGTCGATTACTGCAATTGCATTTAGCAGGGCAGAATATCTCAACCTCATCCTGGCATCCTGTCACGTCATCAAGACATGTCAAACATTGAATCCCTACTATCATTAGTAATCACCTCACTAAGCCACCAATACGCATTGGGCCGATTCAATTACATTCATAGGGAATTAATTGGCTGATGTTGGAGAAGATTCCATCTAGAGCAGTTTTTTTTTTAAAAGAAAAATATCCATTCGTGCACAAAAGCTATTCCTATCTCTTATTTTATTTTAGAGATTTTGGATTTTTGAATGTTAATCGTTACACTTTTTCGTTACACGTTTCGACTTAAGTTAGCAGCATCATCATCAGCCCTTTAACGTCCCCACTGGTTGGATGGTTAAGGAGGATGGGCCATGACCCTCCACGCTGGCCCAATGCGAATTGGAGGGTATCAACGACTACAAATGCAGCCGGGACCAACGGCTTAACGTGCCTTCCGAAGCACGGAGTAGCTCGAGATAGTAATTTTTTTGGCCATCCCGTGACCGACCCTTGCGAAAGTTGCTTAACGACAACGATCGCGGGCCGCGGCGTTTATCCACTACGCTACCGAGTACTAATTGAAGGTCGATTCTAGGGTACAAGTCTTGACAATATTGTCGACTGTACCTACACTTTCCTAATTCTTAATGAAAGTAATATCGAAGAGGTATCCATCCATACAACTTCGAAAGTTAGTTAATTAAATATCTTTAGGAAAGCGTTGTTCTGTGACTCACACATTCAACGTTAGGGTAACTTTTTTTATTATTAGAATATTTATTGCAATCACAGATGCAATAGGGTTATGGATGACTCACTTATATTTTTGTTACATGCTGAGTAAGAGACGCCGTATTCTTTGACAGCATTAGTACTTCCTTATGTTTTTTGATTTTATTTTTTTATTATGTGGCTCTTATGAATTATTGTGGTGAGTTAGTAAACCTACGCAATCTGTAGGTATATGTGTCAAAACTCGTCCAATGTGGTCCTTTGCAACGTGTCATTCGTAAACACAGTGACAATATATTTTTTTTGTAAGACGTGAGAATTTGGCTCACTCAGCCATATTTAGTTTTAAGTCAATATGTATTTTGTAATTGATCGCATATTCAATACAGTCAGTATGTATTTTGTAATTATAGTATATTTTAAAATTTTACGCTCCGCGATGTCACGGCTGGATTCTACAGATTGGGCCTTGTCTGCTTGCTTAAACTGAGTCGAGTCCAGTGTTGGTATTACATAGCGTTTATAACATCGTATATACACAAATGTTGTTGTGAGTGTTATGTATGCCCAACAATAAATAACTTTCCCTTCTTTCTTTATTTGAAAAACATGTATGTTGTTTTACCGAATTGTGACTTTTATGGTACTCTCTTAGTGTTTTAATATTTTTTATCTACACTCAAATCGAAAAATTCGAATTACGAACTCAAAGACGATTTTATACATACGCACTTTATAAACGCACATACATAAAATTAAAAATAAAGCTCATTATAGTACCGCTATCTTTTTTATTCATTAAACTAGTCTATGGTTTAAGACTGAATACGAAAAAAGGCGCAGTTCGAACTGTGAAAAAAATGGCGTACGCATGCGTAGTTTGAACGTAATTTCCCGCGCTTCCCATATATTTTTTTTTTTAATTTCAATTTTTCTTATGAGTGAAGATAAAGTAGTGTATGAAACTGCATATAAGTTAGGTATTAAAACACTTGAGTTAACCTATTATTATCGCATGAGGCGAAGCCGAATGCAGACTCTAGTGTTTTAATGCCCCTTCTTAAATGACAGTTGCATAAACTACTAATTTAATACTTTTAAACCTAGCTTAGGTTGCATGTTATACTAGGTTACCGATAAAATACCGGTCACCAAGGTACTGATTAGAACACGATCACAAGTTTGATTTGATTTTTCTTTTTGTTACAGGCTGTCTCAGATTCAATGTTAGTGGAACTAAAGGCTTGCTTCATGGAAGCTTACGACGATAATCAAGATGGAAAAATAGATATACGAGAGGTAAATGTGATATTTATATTAAACCCTTATTAATATGACTGGAATGCATATTCTCTATTTGTTTAATTGTAGGAATAATGCTATACGCTTTACCACCGCCTGGCCAACGATAAGCTTATGTAGGGCTTCCTTTGTTCCATGCAGTGATTGTATGCGCGAGGGATTCACTAAGGCCTGTTTAATAAAAACCCTACAGTATACTAGCTTTCGGGGAGAAAATCCCTGCCAAATCACCAGTAACTTAATTTCACACATCGCAGACTGAACACACTGAACATTATTGTATATGTCGTGGGCCAATTGTTGAATTGGGGTTTTCGAGATCTGCCGGGGCATATCATGATATGCCGCCATTTCTTGATTTGGCCAGCCATCATCCGCCATATTGTTCAATGCTTAACGTTTGACGATTTACTCGACTATACTCTGGCCAATCGATTTTGTAGGGTATCCAAAGTACTATGTAAGCAAAAGTGGGCAATAACCAGGGGTTATCTTAACTCCCATTTCTGTATGAAAGCAAATAAAATGAAGTTTAAACAATAATTAATTTGACTAATGAATAAAATGGGCTGTTATAATTGTTTTCACTGTGTTTACTAAAAAAGCGCTCAGCGTTTTTTTTTCATTATCTTAAATTGAAATAAAATGAAAGTACAATCTGAAGTACACAGACATATTTCTTAATTAAAATACTTTACAGCTCAGTAAAAATACAGCGGATAGCGCTACAACGCCACTAGTGACGCAAAATGGAACTATACAACGATGCGTCCAGCCATATCACGATGTGCCCAAGTGTTGGGAAAATCGACAAATACGTTGCTCTAGTCTATCTGTTTTCTTTTAACCGGACCGATTGTGATTTTCCAAATCAAGAAATGGCGGCACATCGCGATATTCCCGGGCAGATCTCGATCGGTACAATTCAACGATTGGCCCACGACATATACATAGTAAAGATTATTTTATGTTATAATGGGACTTGTTAATCTGTAATTCAGACCCCTATAGAATAGAATAGGCAATAATTATACCAACACATAACATACACACAATATAAAACAAACATAAACTAATAAGTGCATTGTCGCCAGCTGTCATAACTGGCTCCAGCTCAATGAAAGCAATTGGTATCGCCCATTGCATTGATTCCTACGCATACTCCAGTCTGTGAATATGTGTAATTAAAATTATGTAACATTGTTCCAGTTGGCCCAGCTGTTACCGATGGAAGAAAACTTCTTACTGCTATTTAGGTTCGATAACCCTCTGGAATCCAGCGTAGAATTCATGAAAGTAAGCTATATACATTTAATTTAAATATCCACCTCTTGACGATACAATTGAAATGTATTATTTGACGACGGTATTGTTTGTTATCTCGATATCTTACCTGCTTCGGTAGGCACGTTATGCCCCGGCTGTATCCAATTCGCACTGGGTGGGTTATGGTCCGTTCTCCCACTTCGATTGTTTCGATTCCATCTACAGGGAAGGTTTGAGCCGCAGCAGTTGGGGGTGGGGCATTAATAGGCTGGTGACGACTGTTGGTTTTATGACTGCTACATTTTTATTTATTTATTATTTACACCAACAATATATATCGCAGCCAAATTTGTGAAATAGCAGTATACTTGAAGTAGTTTGATTGAATAACGCCATTAGGTGTATACCAAGTTTGGGAATTCAAGCATTATGGCATTTTAAAAGTTAGTTGTTGATGGTGGTTATTGGTATGTTTATCCGCTGCGATATTATCATCGCAGCGGATAAACATACTTACTTACATGAATTAAAGGTGGTTTCGGTACATTGAAATAAAAATAGAAACACACACACACTCACACATATACGCGCACGCGCACACACGCGCACACACACTCACACCTGGGGCTCTATTTTTGAATCATTCGTCTCGCGTCGAGCGCTCGTTTTCTACTGATTTTCGTTCGACTTAACAAATTCGCCATTTCTAAATCGCTCGACTGCAACGAGTGGTATGAACCACTCGTCGCTTAGCGAACGTTGTATGCGAGTGATAGAAGAAAACGAGCGCTCGACGCGAGACGAATGATTCAAAAATAGAGCCCCTGGTTCTTGCATGGTAATAGAATAATTTGAAAATGTTAAAAGATTTATTAATTTATTTTATCTCTCATGTTCTTTTTGTATTTAATTTCTTAGTCTGTATAAGCCAAAATTTAATACTCAGAGAGCACTGACTCCTGACATATAGGGTAACCTAATTTGGCAGACAGGGCAAATTGATTTGTTACGCTATGTAGTTACTCAATAAAGAATTATTATTATTATTAATTCTGATTTTTAGTAATTGGTGGGTGTTAACGTTTATAAACGTAGTTGCGACCAACGGCTGCTTTCCGAAGCTCTAATGAATATTCTTTATTTTTAATTAATTTATATCGTTAATGTTGATTTAATGGACATTTGTACAACTTGGCGTAAAATCTAATATAGTATTCAAAAAGTTTCTCACTTAATTTTATGTTCAACAGAGCAAGAAGGTTTTAACATCTGTTGCCAGGAACTTTTTCGCTTTCAACTTCAATGTGCCATAGATTAGTTCTTATAAGTTTCCGTAACGTGTTGGCGTGACTTGAGTAAGACGATGTAAAATTAGACCGATCGATAATTCCAGATTTGGCGGGAGTACGACACTGACGGGAGCGGTTACATTGAGGCTGATGAATTAAAGGTATCACACGCACAAAGTAGAAAAAACAATTACTGTCTGTAAGTGGAGACTGCTCTTGGTTAGAAAGAAAAAGAAAATTTTGGTACCGCATGAGTCTCTCTTTACTGACGCGCACATAGAAATGGGCAGCTATAATAATAAGCAAACTGTCGAACGATAAGGTGCAATCTTTCTTCTTTTCCTAACCGAAGGGACAGCTCGAGGCCTAGCTTCTATTTTATCAATTGAATTTAAACTGTATTTTTTTTATTGATGACTGTGGTCATTATATTCTATCCTTTTTCTACGAGTCTGCGTTCTTCTTTTGATTTTTCATATGCCGCACTAAACATTAGCCAAAATTGTTGCAAATGTTATGGTAAAGTTGGTTTGTGGTGGCGTCCACATGGAATGCTTTCAGTTTGCCTCGGTGGATCTCGCGACAACATGTTCGACAATATTAGCCAATTTCAATCGCCACAATGTTGGCTAATGTTAAGAGAGGGCATTCCGCTTTTTCATTGATTTTCACATTATGTGTTCATATAACAATAATTGATGTCATTTAATAATAATAACTCATAAAAAATGTAAATTAAAAATGTCATGTGATAACGATCCTCGTTGGTCTAAGTAAATTAATATTGTTATTATCTGTTATATACTGTCGTATATTTGTTAATATTATTTACAGAATTTTCTAAGGGATTTGTTAAAAGAAGCAAAGAAGATTAACGACGTTTCAGAAGATAAATTGATTGAATATACTGACACCATGGTATGAATTTTTTCTTATATCCTCACTACTTTCTTTTATTCTCTAAATAAGTTTAGGGTGAAGTTGCGTACATTGAAACGACATCTAAATCGTGCCTCGTATATACGAATCGTAAATACGAATAACAATTCTACTAATTCACATATGATGTGATAGTATAACTTAGACCTAAATTTTGGTCTTCGTGTAATCAAAGCTCTAAAATATAAATAAAGGGTATTTTAGATTTTTATATTATTATTCAAATGTATCCTTATTTGAATAGTTTTTAGAGCATAAAATTGAGTTATTTATGTTGGCACGATTTGATGAAATACTTACTTAGTGTCTGAAATTGGACCACCACATTATTACCTAAATCAGGCATTTGGGTCAGGATTGATTCAATTAAAAATCCTCTATTAAAAAACAAAATAAATGAAATAACAATTCCCACATTATTTATTAAGTCGAAAACCAAATAGAAAAAGTAAAGAATGTACTTTATAGTATCTCATGCTAGTAGTTTATTAACTAGCTGACCCATCGAACTTCGTAGCGCCATATTTTATTTTTCCAGTCGCGACTGGAGGAAATATAACCTCTCTGGTATACTAACAATCTGGCAAACGTCGATTGTTTCGTCAAAAGTATTAAAGCCTTCTGTCACATTCAAATACCGTCAATCACTTTTTAGATTGCAAAAAAAATGTTTATAAATTTTCTTTTATACAAATCTTGTCTTGATAACAAAAAAAGAATCATCCAATTTAATGCAGTTGTTCGGAAGTTATGCGCGCTCATATATTTCGGCGATCGATTTTTATATTGTTAATATTATAATGTTAATATAATAAGGTTTATATTATTTATATTTCATACAATAGTTCAACACTGTAATTTTAAGATACGAAATATTTTTTTGCAGCTACAAGTATTTGATTCGAATAAAGACGGTAGACTACAATTATCAGAAATGGCCAAGTAAGTAAAGTTCGAATTTTCATTACTTAAAAATAAAACTAGCTTTAACCCGCGACTTCATCCGCGTGGTTACTTTGAAGAGAATTTCTAAAACGCTTAAAACAATTATTATGCAATAATTTGTTTACAAAAGAAAGAGAAGCCGGTCCAGGCATTAAAAGCGATCCATATAGTTAGGTATTGCTTTAAAATTTTGTTGGCAGTGCCCTTTTTAGATACGTTTTTAACTACATTCGATTAGTACGGGTTAGCAATGCTTATTGTTATACGACAGACACGCCGCGCCTGCGAGAATCGTTTATTAGACAGACTTTAGATAGGTATCTTATTATAAAGTAAACAGTCTTGTGCACGCGGGTTTTTTAACACTCCTCAGTGAGTGACCGACCAACTATCAAGTACCAAGTACCGATACAAATACTTATTTTACGATACTACTTGTTACTCGGTTCTAAAGTATTGTTTACAAAAGTACTAGGTATTGAAAGTAAAGTATCGATTAAATTCTTATATCTATTCTTATCGTTTCATCCCTAGTCAAAGTTTTCCTCAGACTACAGCGCTAACGCTCTACGCTCAAATATTTTTTTAAAATTACTAAGTATGTCATATAATAAGAGATTACCAAACAGTAAACAAACTAATAGTCTAAAAACAATATAAAACAAAATCACATGCTCGACTTTTAATCTAATAGCCAATTTTTTCGAGTTCAAATTGGGGAGATTTGAGTGTACTAATGAAAACAACATAGAGCTCATCCGTATTGGAACAATGAATATGTCGTAGCTGACTGGGTAAAGCATCCGTCAAATTAGACGGCTAGTCCTTTACTAGAATAGCGCCATTCATTTGCACGGCTAAATCTCAATCAGCTGAGTAACTATCATAACGTTCTTCTACAGTGCAGCTATTTAAATCCAAGTGAACTGGTTAAACGTCAAGGATCACGATACGAAACACATTTTTTTTTAATGATGTTCTACTTCAAAGCAAAAGTCACACAAAGTGACTAAAGTCCAATATGTTTCGGTACTTTATCTCTAAAAACGATAAAACTATTTATAATTTTAAAGTATAAATGGAAAGAAAAACACAAATCTAAAGTTTGTACATACAAGTTTAAGCGAAAACTGAAGTCTATTCAGTTTAGTTAAAAAAAAACGCCATCTAGTATAGCAAAGTTTGCAGTTATTTCTTATTACATTTTATTTTCAAACACAACTTTGACCAATTTCGTGCGATGTAGACATAACGCCACTATGTTTAAAATATACAATTTGTGTATCATTTCGTATATAAAAGTACAAACAGTACTTGAATATTTTCAAAAAATATATATTAAATGTTATTTTTGTTACAAATTATGTATTCAAGTATCAATTTTCTTCACTATATAAGAAAATCTTTATAAATAATGTTAGAAAGTTTTATTACGAGTACAATAACAAATCAAATAGGAAACAACCTTGCTATAAACATTTTGTTTTTCTATAAAAACTTCCACCCCCATTCTCATCTCTTTAAGTGATGGTTTTCGGGATAAAATAACCTATTACCTTCCCATGATCTTAAACTACTCAAATACCAATTTTCGATAGTTTCATATAAACATTTTCACTATTTTAGCTGTGCTGTTCTGTCAGTAAGTGATATGTGTATAGGTAAAAAATTAACAGATTTTAATCGTTTTTAAATTTACTATTCATAAAGGTTGGCAACCTGCGGTTATTCACACGTAAAGTTGCGGCTCTACAGTATATTAAAAAAATACTGTCAATAATGCTTTGAATTTTTAGTCGATCCATATTTTGAGTTCCCATAATAAGATTGAGATTGAAAAACTTTAAACTTATTTCTTTTAAATAAAATATGTAATCTAATATGATTAATTATTCTCCCACAACGCATTGGTTGGATGGAAGTAATATTTCAGTGGCTCTTCAAAAACTGTGCAATTTTGTAAATAATAGCTTTCGGCTCTTCCGTTACTCATTAGGTTGACCACCTCTGGTTTGCGGGATGATTTACTTTCATGAAAATTATAAATAATAATACACGTTTAGATAAGGATACGCGGTATACGTATTGTTAATTAACCCTAAAGTTGTTTTTTCAAACGCCAGCTCATTTGCATACTGTTTCAAAAATTTTTATAAGGACTAATATTAGTATTTTGTTTCTATAGTCTTAGAACTGACTGACTAATTAAAAAAATATGTGAGATCTATAAATATAAATAAATTCGTGCCGAAACTACTGAATCGATTTCAATCAAATTTTGAAAGGAGTTTTTATGTCAATTATTATACTGATATTATAAAGAGGGAAAAAAAATATTGTTTGTTTTTTTTTTGCATCGAATACTCTCCGAAACTATTGGATTGCTTTTTCTCTTTCATACAGGTAGCTACATCGTTTGAGGTTGACATATTCCATAAATTACGCGTGCTAAGTCACAGTAAATCAGCTAGTTATATATAAAATAGTATGTGAACGTGCTACATGTTTAACAGACACAAAAATATACAATAAATAAATGATTCCTCTTTAAAATATTATAAACATTACAAACACTTTTACACCAAACCAAAATTAATTTACAATTTCCTAGTATACTCGTACATTTCCAATAATAATTCATCAATCATTTTTATTATCAAGGTACAGTAAATATTTATGTTACTATTTTTAATAAACTATTTAGGTTAATATGTTAATGTTACTTATCTATATAATTGTAGATATGTCCTGATAATATGATAATAATATTTACAAACACATTTACACTTCCTTAAAAGTAATAGAATTCGTTATCTTGGTAGATAAAACACTTATACATTATCGAAATATATTGTTAATCCAACAAAAGAAAGGCGTAATTAATTTGTTTTTTTTTTATATAAATGAGGATTTACTTTTCTATCAAAGGTATTCATGATGGCATCATTATTTTATAAAGGAAATATTTTTATCTTTTTAGAGATAACGTGAACAAAACTTAATTTTCTCCTATTTAAGGAATTCGTTTCTTTGTAATTCGATGTGATAGACGCAAATACAGTGTTTTTACAGTGACCTTTATTATATCAATATTTTTATTAAGAGACTAGCTTTCGCCAGCGGCTTTGCCCGCGTGGAGCCACGGGAAATGTTAAGTGCGATAAAAAGTGTCGAACTATCTAAGTCAGCTAATACCCTATCTGTATACCAAATTTTAGTTTCGGCGTGATTGACGGACAAACATCCAAACAAAGAAACTTTCACATTTATAATATTATTAGAATAAACACTTTTTTATGTAACAAAGGACCGTTCTCTCGTTGAATCTATTAACCCTAGAATGTTTCAGGCTGCTCCCAGTCAAAGAGAACTTCCTCTGCAGACAAGTATTCAAGGTGAGTGACACTTCATTTCGCGCCATAATGGCCGCCACCACGACACGCACAATCTTGTCGATATATGATGTCATATTACGTGTTGCTATTTCTAATCATCTATGTTACTTTCAAAGCAATTTAATTTTCATATGCTTTCATATTAACTTGCTAGTAATATTATTTTTAACGCACTCTTAATTAGATAGTTTAAAATAAACAAAAACCTACTTTCTAAATTGATAAATAAATACTGATGCATCTTGCTTATTGTAAAAGTGCACACCTACCCCATTAAAGATGCTTAGATGGGCTTTAAAATGCTTGCTTATCATTTGATTTCTTCTGGTATAATATTCGCATTTTAAGAATTTCCTGGTTGATTACCTAAAATCTCTGATTTATTTCTCTCATTTATACAATCGATAGCACATTAAATTACTATAAAAACAGTTTGTAACAAAGCTAAAATAGGTTTTTTCTTATATGTTTTATTAAGACCTTTGTTGTAGTGCTTAGATTAATATGGCTATGATGTGGCAAAAAGCATTTCTTGCGGTGAACATTCAAAGCAATAACAATTCGCAATCAGGCTGCTGTTAACAATTCACGCCCAAATCTCTGAATTCAACGAGACGCGGTTTATATTTTACAACAGTG